TTATATGTTTTTATCAAAGCAAGAATTGGCATTTAGAGGGCATATGGAATATATTGGATCTAATAACAGAGGTAATTTTATTGAACTTGTTTATTTATTAAGTACGTCAGATAAATAATCTATTAAAAATACATTTAAAGAAAGAATTAACTGATTGCCCCTGGAAGTTGGCTTCTTATAGAAACACAGCTTCCCTATCATCAAATGTCACGGCACGCCACTGCAGTTTACTAAGATCAAACATCTGGATAGTTCGAAATTCCGTTAGTTCGTAACTATACTATTTGTCCCGGCTGGAGGTATAGAGACTTACACATTAAGGAATTCTGTTAGTTCGATATACGGCTACTTCAGCTAATAAGTGTATTCCAAAACCATGTTATGTACAAGCCAAAGCCAAGTTTTACGTGTGAAACGTTTGAAATTGCAGCCATTAGGCGGAATTCCAATCGACTACAGGCTACAGTGGCTGGGTTTCCAAAAATAAAACCAAAGCTGCTACAGCAAGCCCACTTTCAAAGGAGAAGATAAAAGACATTAAATTTATATCAAAATTCATGCCTGTTATTGATGTGGATTTTTATAAATCTATAATGTAGATAAAGAGTACTGAAATTCTATCTTTTCTTTCTCTATAAACCTTCTAAGTTTGAGAATTTCAATACAGCACTTCTAATATCCAAAGGTTTCCAATAACGATGACTTTATTCGTTATTTTACTGTTACAAATGCATTTCGGAACGATGTATATTTTCGTCCCGCCTCTTCGACGATTTTACTCCTTATTGCATTTACAACTTATATATATATATAAAACACGTCTCTACCCTCAAAATTAATCTTTTTTCCATTTTATAATAATTAAAAATATAAAAAATTTTAATAATAAAATATCATAACAGATGACGCCACAAATATAGTTTTAAATGTTGCCGGGAAAGTTAAACAACTCGTTGCTGGATTTTCTCTAAAAGGACAACCCAGATTTCACTGTGATAATATAAAAATTATAAACATCAGACTGGAAATATGAAAATAACATACACTGGGAATAAAATATAGGATATACATTGGTAAATATGTGATAAAATTAATCATTCTTTAATTATCGGATATATATTTTATAAATGGACATGTTAACTATAGGCTACAGGTCTAATAGTATATTAAAGAGACCATACTCAAGATAACAGCATGGTTTTTTGTCATTAAGAATATATTTATATCTTAGTTTTCTACGAGTATATTTTTTATGTTGCGTACAGGTGTTATTTCGTGATAATACATTGCTAATTTCGTAAGAGGGTCCTTTAGCCTATATATTTGGCTGCAATTTAAAAAAATTGTAGACCTATAAATACCTATTGTCGTTTGTCTGTATGTCAGTCTGTCTGTCAATCTCGAGAACAGAATTGGATAGATAGAAGATGAGTAGATACGGCATGGAAAGCTTAGGGGCAGGAGGCTCCGATTAACTATATAACAACTTCCGATGCAAACCGGAAGTCACGTTATTTCAATTCGAAATTTTTCCCCTGAAAGGAGTTACATAGACAACTCAATTGCTAACAGGAAAAGTATGATGTACAGGAGCAAGCTACTACTAATTTGAGGTGGAGAGCATATATTTTAAATAAATTAAAAATGTGATTAAAAATTGCAGCCCGGCATTGTGAGGATGTCACAGTAAATAATTGCTCTTATATCCTCGCGACTTTAAAAAACGTATCTTTTTCACATTGACGATATTTTGATGGCATCTAGAGTAGTAATTTCGTGATAAGTTATATTGTATATAAGTTATTTTATTATACCTCATTTTGGACATGAAAAGTATGGCAGATATTCAAGATATATTCAACTAACATTATCTGTAAGTAATATATTATTTTAATACTCTAATCGACGATAATTAATTATTAAATAGTCCTTGTGTTCGATATGTCTAGAATTTCACAGCGAAAGCTAAAAATGTTGCCCGAATAGCTAAGAAAATTTAAACGCACAATATAATAAAAAAATAATAACCGCGTGTTTAAATATATTTCCAGTTCTTAGTTTATTGAAATATCAAAGAATAATTCACTTATCATCAATATTTTGTTTGTAAATTTAATTAAGATAAAACTAGTTTTCGAAAGCACTTCTACAAATTCCAGTTTTCTTCTTACAACAAAGACCGTTTTTGCTAACAGTTATAAAAATGGCAGCTTACTTAAATGAACAAAATTTTCAAATTAATATATTCCACGCTACCTGCGAGCAAAATTTCAAATCTCGTCTTACATTATTTATTTGATGAAGATGAATTTAAAAAATATTACGAAATTACCAACGTTTACCCTAAAAATTTGCAATGTTGAGTTTTGATAAGTAACAATTTTATAATAAGTCAAACTTTAAACTCGTCTCATGAAAAATTTGAAAAAGTGGAGATAAGATATTATAATTCTCATTCGTCGATATGGTGAAAGGACGTTATGCCATAATCGATCTGGAAACAATCAAGAATTGTCATTCAAAGCAAATGACCACAGGTTTGGTTGCGGACACACAGAGAAGTGGCTGTCCATCCACACCATGATCTGAGGAAAATGTGTCGTCGATGTGGGAATTGTTCACCTGCAGCCCACATAAATCAACACGTGAGGCTGCTCGCGAAAGTGGACTTTCAAGGTACACCATACATGCGGTGTTAAAGCACTGAATTATCGTTCGTGGAAACTTCATTACGTGCAGGAGCTGACACCTGAAGACTGCCTGCAGAATGGAATATGGGGAGTTGATGATGGGTTGGCATGTATGTACCTACATTCCTACAATGAAGGTATACATCTGTATTTCCATTTAATAAGGTACATGTCAAATAATTTTCATCGACATTACATAAGAATTATAGAAATTATAGCGATTTCTCAGTTTCTAGTTACTTTCTACTAGAAACTAGTAAATTCTACTCTGTAAATCTATATAACGATATACCAAAAAATTTTGGTATTTTTCTTTAATAATTTTATACTTCACACGAAGTTACGACTAAACATAATTTTTTTTCGTGTATTGAAATTCGAATCTAACCAAAATGTTTGTATTCAAGTATTCAGGTAGAACAAACCATAGGTAATAAGAAAAATGTACTGAAGTCTTGATTTTTAAAAATAGCTTTTTTTACCATTTCTTTTTTATACTTTTTATTTTAACATCTACACCGAAATATTGACCGAAATACTTTTAATTTTTAAAGCAAAGTAAATTTAAATTAGTATATAAATCGCTTCCTTAGTACAGTAGTTGCGAAAAAATTAAAATAACTTTTTCTTAATATTGGCGCTGTTATCGCTCGAGTGAATCAAGATATGAAATAAACAAGACGGTCTTCGGCAGTAATCTTCGTCATCAAGTCCGACAACGAGAAATATATGAACAACAAATGGAACACCTACCCCAAAAAATCACTCTACCCTTGGCTCTCTAACACATCAGATATCTCTATTCCTGACATCACGGACCGCCGTATCAACGTCCTCATTAATCGCGTTAGAACAAACTCGTTGCTTACTAACCACTTTCTTTATACCCGCAACATCTGCACCACTAACCAGTGCAAATACTGCCCAAATAAAACTGATACAACCATACACCGCCTCAACGAGTGCTCAAAATTTGACGACATCAGGGGTAGAATCCTCTCCAACAACAGTCTAACAAAAAATCATCTTCTCAACATCAGCGACTGCCTCCAATTATACCCGAAAGACGTTTGCCTCCAATCCTTATCGACCTTTTTTAATGAATACAAAAATACCTACAACTACTAAATCATTTTGACTTTCCTCATCACTCCTTTTAACTGCCAACGGTCGACTAACAGTCAACTCATCCACCCCGACATGTGTACTGATTTTTCCAATCGTCTCTTC